ACCCTCAACCCTACGCCCTAAAGCCGCAAAAAGGCCCAAAGGCACTAAACCCCTCACCCCTAAACCCCAAACCCCTACTTACCAACACGAAAGCGCTACTAGTAAAGCCCTAAACCCTAAACCCCTAAGCTTCAACCCTAAACCCCAAACCCTAAAGCCCAGAGCCCTTCAATGCTTTCATCCCCGGAGCAATAAACCCACTGCAAAGCGATCTATACCTAAATCCTAAATCCTAAACCTTAAACCCTGAATCCTAAACCCTAAACCCTATAGGGCCTATAAGGGTGAAGGGCCTGAGGTGCTGAAGGATCTCCGAATGCCTGAGCCGTATTTTTAAAAGGGCTGTGAGGGGTACATTTTTTTGGGGGTTCTTATGATAAGTATAGCATAGTATACCCCAAAACCCTATTCCAATTATTAAGGCCCCTGCATTATAATATTCCGCAAAAATGAGATTAAGAAGCCCTCAGTAATAGTATTAGTTTAAGCCTTTAGGCCCCTCTGCCACTTTGGGCTGAGGCAACGTCTTGGGCGAAACGGACGCGCTCATTAGCGCGAAAGTCAGGTGGGTGTCTGGTTTCAGGTTTTATTCGGCGTCGAGCGTTTTAGGGTGTGCGGGGTTTCGTAAGTTGGGGGCACTTTACGGGGGGTCCTTTTGATTATAATACGGATCCTATTTTGGGTCGCCTTTATTGAGGAAATTTCCGTCTCGTGCTTAACAGGGTAGGCTATCATAGTTGAGGCTGCTGAATGGGGTGAAGAAGGTTTCCAGCCCAAGCCCTGACTATCAAACCCTGATATACTCGTAGGATTCTTAAAAAATAAAACAGGGTCATGAGGTATATTATAGTAATTATAGTATTGTAAATTGAGCTACCCTAAGAAATTGTGTTGTTCAATATTCAAGCCCACATACTAAAGGGATGCTGCCTGGCGCCGGGTTGAGGTTGGCGGGCCGTGTTGGGATGTGGGGTGTGCTCTGGGCTTGATGATTGGAGCCTAATCTAGGCGCTTAAATAACTTACTATAATTATAGTATAATATCCCCCCAAACCCCATTCTAATTGTTAAGGCCCCTATATTAAACGCTGTTGCAGGTAAGGCAAGGCTAAAGCAGATCACGATGAAGCATGACCTGAGCAATGCTGAGGTTTCTAAATCTTAGACCCCTCAACGGTCAACCCTGTGCCCTAAACCACCGAACCTTCAAACACACGAAGCTAGGAACCCGTATAAAGCCGTGTAGAAGCCTCTCTACACCTTAAATGAACTTGATGAACCACCCTGAAACCCTGAAACCCTGGAGTGAAAAATCGCTGCGGAGGCAGTGCCTGGAAGCCGGCCTGAACGTGAACATCACGATGCTTGGTCGTTAAGATGGGTCATGTGCCGGCGCGGAGCTGTGCGTCTCATGAAAAACTTGTCGGGAGCTCACCAGCCTGGATGGCTCTTTTTTGCGGTCCTGATTATAAGAGTGACGTGCTCTTTTTGGGGATCCAACATAGGACCTCGCTTTTCAGAATTGGCCGAGAGCGACCTGTTCGCGCAAAGAAATTTTAAGCTCCTACATTCCCAAAACTCCCAAAACTGGCCCTAAACCCTAGACCCCTTACGTCCTAAATGCCTTAAATACCCGAAAGTCCTTCACCTGCCTAACCACCGAAATGCCAATCTCCTAAACCCTAAACTACCCCTAAACCCCTAAACCCTAAACCCCTAAATCCTAAACCCTAAAGCTCGAAAGCCCCAGGCACTAAACCCTACACCCCTAAATCCTAAACCCTAAACCCCGAAAGCCCCAGACCCTAAACCCTAAACCCTAAACCCTAAACCCCTAAACCCCTAAACCCTACACCCGAAACCCCTACCCCCTGAACCCTAAACCCCCAAACCCTAAACCCCTCACCCCTAAACCCAAAACCCGAAAACCCTAAACCCCTCAACCCTCTAAGCCCGAAACCCCGGAGCTGAAGCTGAGGATCGGTGAGAAGGCCGAAGCCCGGAGCGCCGGGGAGGAGATGCCCCCAGCTGGTCTTTGCCTCTAGGGCTTGGGTTCAAGTTAGGGTTTAGGGCTTTAGAGTTTAGGGTTTATGTATGTATGTATGTATGGATGGAATGGAATGGAATGGAATGAAATGGAATGGAATGGAACTGAATGCAATGGAATGTAATGGAATGTAATGGAATGTAATGGAATGTAATGGAATGTAAAGTAAAGTAATGTAATGTACTGTAGTGTAATGTAAAGAAAACGTAATGTGATGTGAATGTAATGTATTGTGATGTAATGCAATGCAATGTAATGTAATGCAATGTTATGTAATGCTATGTAATATTATGTAATGTTATGTAATGTTGTTTAAAGTAATGCAATTTTAAGGTGATGTAAGTTTATGTAATTTTATGTAATGTAATGCAATGCAATGCAATGTCGTGTAATGTAAAGTAATGTATGGTTGTATGTATGTATGTGCACACACATGTATATGTATATATTTACATATATACATACCTGCATATATATATATATATAGATTCACACATGTGTGTACTTGCAAGAACAGATACATACATACATGTGTATCTATATGTTCGCCGACCATAGACAGATTAGATCGTTAGCTACATGGATACTGTTGATGATATAAATCCTGCACTGCCTGAAGGACCCTGAACTATTGGGAGCGATGGTCTATGTCATCAACCCTAAACCCTAAACCGATAGATAGATGATGGAGCGGCTCTTAGCTTGCACGTCTGCTATGTAGGGCTTGACAGTGGGTTGCAGTAGTGTCAAGTGGCTTAAACTGTTCAGGGTTTAGGCTCTAGGGTTTAGATTAAAGGGTTCATGGCAGTTGGTTTTTGCCTTTGTTGGATCTGAGTTATTTCTCCATACTTACCTTCAACTACCTGCACCACTAAGTACAGGGACTCCTACACCCAGCCCTACCGCCCCAAATCATGCATCCTGAAGCCTGAACCTTAGACCCTAAACCCGAAACCCCCCCCCAAAAAAAGAACCCTAAATCCTGAAGCCTGCCTAAAGCCTTCGAGCTCTGACCTTCGCGACTCTCAGCCGTGAGCCCCTCCCTCTATATGTGTAGGGGCCTAAAGAATTATCAAATACTATTTTGGGGGCTCCTTGTTATAATCATTGTATACTAGGGACCTATCAAATACTATTTTGGGGGCTCCTTGTTATAATGATTGTATACTAGGGGCCCAAAAGCCCTATTCTAATGATTAAGGCCCCCCCATCTTAACTGTTACCGGCCGGTGAAGGAGCTGAAAGTGCTTCAGGCTCGGTGGGCCTTGGGCTGGAGGGTTTCAAAGGTCTAACTCCCATTTGGAGGCTTGCGTTGGGCCAGGGCTGCTAGCACTGGCGATTTCAGGCACATTCCTTGATGAAGGGATTGGTGCGAAAGCCCTAAACCCTAAACCCTCTTGTCAGTGCTGTTCTTTTCAAAGGTTGCTTCCGATTCAATGTTCGCGCAGGAGAGCGTTGCAAGAACGGCTATAAGGCGACACATCAAGTCGTTTAAGGTATATGCATCCTGTCAGCCTGCTGGCCGTGGACACCCCAAAGCCCAAATCCCAAACCGAAAAGAGATCTCGAAAGCTAAACCCTAAACCCTAAACCCCAAGACTAAGCACAAATCTTGAACCGAAAACACGCCTTGAAGCCTCAAGCCTAGTGACACTTAATGGACCCGAAACCAACCCGAAGCCAAAAGCTCCCGAAGCCTTAATGTAGGGGCCTTTATAATTAGAATAGGGTTTGTGGAGTTCCTTATTATATTTTTCTAGTATAATATACCCCCAAGCCCTGTTCTAATTATTAAGGCCCCTATATTCAACCCAACGAGCAGGGCCGCTTTTTGTTGCTCCCTTACAGTACAGGCACAGCTGGGGGAGGCAGCCAAAGGTGTGCCGGCGGATGCCTGGGGAAGGCTACTCGGCCTTGATCAGTATAGGTTAGTGTGTAGGGTTTAGGGTTTAGGGTTTTGGGTTTAGGGTTTTGGGTTTAGGGTTTAGGGTTTAGGGTTTTGGGTTCTTAAGGTAGGGGTTAGGTTAGAAGACCAGGGGAGTATGAGGGGAGTTTAGGGTTAGTTGAGGGTGTAGTTCACATAGGCCGTCTTGCAGTTTCGGGTTAGTTGAGGGTATAGTTAAAACCCTAAACACTAAACCCTAAACCCTAAACCCTAAACCCTAAACCCTAAACACTAAACCCCAAACCCTAAACCCTAAACCCTAAACCGTTTGCACGGGCCGTACAGGAGTTTAGGGTTTCGGGTGTTTCAAACGGCTCTCGATCCCCTGCTTCCGTCAGACCTACTTGGAGGATCGTGGGACTTAGTAAGTAAGGTTATAATTCCTTTAATTGGGGTTATAAGTAAATATAAGTATAGTTACCTTAATTATAACCCTACGTACTAAGTCCCCTGCTTCCGTCAGACCTATGCCAAACCAGGTCCAGGACTGCCCTTTTGCCTGCTTCGGGGTCCGAACTCGGCTTGTTCTTGGGCAAGGATGAGGGCGTTGAGGGTTTAGGGTCTAGGGTTTAGGGTTTAGGGTATGACAATCTGCATACCACTCACCACAACCTGTCGGCGGTGGCGCGGGCAGCCGCAGCCGTGGACTGTGTCCCAGTCCCTAGCCTGGGGCTTCTGAATGTAGAAGTCCTTTTCCCCTTGGCGTCACAATGCTTCGGACCAGACCACCACCACCAAGCGCAAACTCCTGGCTTTACGTACCCCTTCCGCGGACGGCCGCAATTCCACATGGGAACGCAAGTTGCAGACGTGGTGCAGTGATCCACGTTTCGGCAAGATTGTGCTGGGCAGCGCATCCCCAGCGCGGCACAAGCGCATGGCTAAAATCTTGCTCATTCGCAATGGCTCCTTCTTCAAAATTTACTTGAAAATGCCCGTCTTGGGTTCAGGGCCAAGGTTTAGTTACTGGGCTTGCGAAGTTCTACGATTTCAGCGGCTTTGCGATGGGTTTTATGGGACAGAAGCCGAGGGCTTAGGGCTAGGCTTTCGGATTTAGATGAACGTAGGGTTTAGAGCTGTTTAGGGTTTAGGGTTTAGGGACACTCCCCGAGTAGGTTTCTAGCTTTAAGCCTTCGACCCTCAGTCAGAAACTTTACAGTCGGTGCTGCCGTAAAGCTCTAATGTTTGGACAGCTGAAACCCCCCAAAACTGCCTCAGACCCACATCCCTGCCGCACAATATAGGGGTCGTAATAATTAAAATAGGGTTTTGGGGCCCATTATATCAGAATTAGAACATGGAACCCCCCAAATAGTCTTGGGAATTACCCTAAACCCAAAGCCCTAAACCCTAAACCCGAAACCCTAGACCCCCTAANNCCTAAACCCTACACCCTACACCTTACTATTTGGGCCCCTACCTCATCCGGAATCCAAAAATGTCTGGCTCTGGATCAGACCCGGAGCTTTCCGGGACATGCCCCGCTTTTGGGGTTTAGGGTTTAGGGTTTAGAGGTTTAGGGTTTAGGGTTTGGGGTTTGGGGGTTTAGGGTTTAGGGGTTTAGGGGTGTAGGGGTTTGGGTTTAGGGTCTAGGGTTCAGGGATTTGGGG